TTTTTAGCAGGTCCGAGCTGTAATGGCGCAGCTCTATTCTGGAAAAGGGGGCGGAGAGCAGCAGCTCATTTGCATTTAAAGAGACAGGCACGAAAAACAGCGCGTTTCTGCTTCCACGCAAAATAAGCATTTTATATAATAAATGATCTGTGGGGTATTTTGAGCTGAAACTTCACAGATACATTCTGGGGACACCAGAGACTTATATTACATATTGTAAAAAGGGGCATAATATCTCTCCTTTAACATATATAAATAAATACAAATATAACATCATGATATTTGTGTATTTTATGTTTAAATTAGTGCTGTCAAAATTAGCGATTAATTTTTTCAGTTTAACGCGGTAAAAATATTTAGGCTCTAAAGGCTCGCTCTTCAATTGCACCACAAATGCGCCGGCGCGCGCTTGTAGCCTGTATCTTTTCATATCAAATCGCAAAAGAAACTACGAGCATGCAATGTCGTAATTATGTCATCAGTTAAGTCATGAAGTTACCATAAAAGGCAATTAAAGCTGCCTTAAAACTGTGCGTGTATGTATTTGTTATATGATACACACCCGATTCAACTCAATAGTAGAGACTTTAAGAACTGAAGTGGGTCACAATAGGTAAAGAGATGTGTGTCAGATCCACGTCACGTTTAGCATTGGCAGCTCTTAAAGGGACAGCAGACAAAAAACCTAATAACCAGCTGCCGTGATGTCTGGTAATCAAGGATTAAAAAAAAAAAAGAGGAAATCAATAACTTTTGTAGCTTTAAGGATTCATCTATATTTAATTTAGAATTTAGTGTTTGATAAATTTATTCCATTTTTGTATATTTCCTACTTGCTGAAGGGCACAGGTAAATGTGACATTTATTATAATGGGTTTATGTGAAGTTCACTCAAATTGGAAGTTATTTTAAGTAGTCTAATAAATGTTAAAATTGATAGCGATTAATTTCAGAAAAAATTTGCTATTAATTAGTTATTTTTTTAATGGATTGACAGCACTAGTTTAAATATATGTATATTATATGTATATTTGTTAAAATATGATTGTATATTTTTATGATATATTTGTATATTTCTATATATTAAAATATTGTAATAGTTGCATATTTTTCATGTATTTTAACATATATACAGATATACAAATATAATATCGTAAAAATATACAAATATCCTTATATTTTAGCATATACAGTGGTGGCCAAAATTATTAGAACACCTGACGGATTTGAAAATATTGACCTTTTTTTGCCTCCAAAACATAATTTAATTTCATAATGTTCATGAAACATGCAGATGGTAGCTCTTAAATGTTCTTAAATATGCCAAGTGTTCTAACAATTTTGGGCACCACGTATAAATATATACAAATATAATATCATGTTGTATTATTTCATGATATTTGTGTATTTTATGTAAAAAAACAAAAAAAATCATGATATATATCATGGTAGTATATTTTTCATGTTAATATATAATATTATTCTATATTTTTATGTACTTTAATATGTCATGATAGTTGTATATTTTATGAAATTATTATATTTGCATATCTTCTGCTCCTCAAGGCTGCGTTTATTTGATCAAAATACCGAAAAAACTGTTAATAATAAAACTAACGGTTTTCTATTTTAATATACTTTAAAATATAATTTATTTCTGTGATGGAAAGCTGAATTTTCATTCTTTTTTTTTTTTTTTTAAAGATGCATAGATAAAAGATGGTGGCATAATATTTAATGTAATGAACTTCAATGGTGTTTTTGAGTGAGTACATTCACTAAATAGAGACAAAACATGGAGTGGATCAAACAAAACTGGGATTGACAGACAATCATTTTCTGTTCTTTTTGAACTGAAGGCTCAGTTTAGCCCATGACTGTCACTGTGATATTTACAATAATGCATTTGTCAGATGCTTTTATTCAAAGTGACAAGTGTGTGTGTGTGTGTGTGTGTGTGTTTGGTGCAGGTCTGGCCCGTGCGAAGTCGGTCCCCAGCCACACATACTCTAATGAAGTGGTGACGCTCTGGTATCGTCCTCCAGACGTGCTGCTGGGATCCACAGACTACTCCACCTGTCTGGACATGTGGTGAGTCTCCATCATCTCTGCATCCATCACACTCAAAACCACATCCTTTGCTCCCATACTGCAACTCAACATCACACTGTGTAGTGCACTTAAAAGTGCACACCCATGCAACTCAACAATGCAGTGCAAAAAGCATTTTTTCTTGTTTTGCAGTTAAAATATCTAAATGTCCTGAAAATAAAACCTGAGAAAAAAATGATTGTTTTCAGAGAAATAGAGAAACATTTAGTGAGGTGCATGCACTATGACAGTGGGAGGCAAAAATTGTTTTATAAAGATTCTCTTTATTTTTTTTACAGTTTTTTCAACTGCTTACACACAAAATCTTTTCTTGTTGCACTGTTTCTGAAAGCTGACACTCAAACAGCAGAAGCACGCACCAAATCTGCAAAACCATACACTGATTCTCTACCTTAGAATTCAATTTCATAAAACACTTTTTGCAAAACACAACACACAATTCTCTATGTAACACTCAAAAATCTAACAGAAATTAATATTACGGCAATGGTGTTTGCAAATGTTTGCTTTTGAGATGTGTTTGTGATATTTTGAATGCAGTGCTTCATTTTGCAAGAGATGTGAGG